ATTTATTAAAAACAAAACACAAAAAAAAACTCACACCAGCTTTCAGGCTCTCTTTATGGCTCAGTGAAGAAGAAAAAAAAAATCCCTTCAACTTCTTTTGCAGGTGATTTTTAAAGAACAATCCTGCTATAATTGCATTAGAAACAACCTGGGAATAGCCAGTGTGTTTTTGGAAACTTTAGATCGTATGTCAAATATGAGCTCCTTATACTGCTTTAAAGGCAGCTATTTTGCTAACCATGGCTTTTTCCACAAAAGAGCATCATGTTTGACTCGCACATGGCTTTGCCTCCAAAGCAGTGTACATTCCTGCAGCCATAGCCGAAATGATGCTAATGGCACAAAAAGGAGCAAAGGACAGAAAGCTTGACTTTTGCAACTCAAAAGACTCATGAAGGAAAGAGAACAATTCAAACTTTTAAAAGTTACAGTAGACAAAAAAAGCTGGATTTTCACTAACATTACAGCTCTATGAAAATATGACTATATACATATATAAAAATGGCAAGGCTGTGACTTCACTATATGCTTTGTTAGGAAATTTCTGTATTCATTTTTTCCTTTCCTTTGCTGCTTTGTTTCAATAGCCTTCTCCCTCACTCAGTATCCATTTAATAAAAAAAAAAAGTTTTAGTTGTAAATGTGATTTTTGTGCACGAGAAGGGTGCCATGCTTGCCCTGGAGACCAAAGTCCCATTTTTCTACAGAATAAATATAGCACATAGAACAGCAGCAACATATTTTCCTCAGAGTGTCCTCCAATCTGCAGAAGTTCTGACATTCCTCACCAAAGCCAGGAAGGCAGTTTGTTCTCCATGTCTGGTCAATCCTGGTGTAATTTAGTAATAATTGTAGTGATGACTTCGGGTGGCTTTGTCAATTAGTAGTAATTGTGATGGTAGCTTTCCATTTCCACTTGATGTTGAAATCATGATCATGAATTAATATAAATTTTACAACAGAAATTGTGTAAGATTGAGGAAAAGATGGAGAGGAGGGAGGAAATTTGTTAGTTCAAGTATCTTAATCAGCAAACATGGAAATGTAATTTTGGACTATCTGGTAAAGTGACTAGGTATTCAAAATTAGCTTGATCCTGAAGAAGTCATTCAGCAAGAGGAAAGGAAGTTAAGGTCAAGTTGCTAAGTGGTGAGTGGTTTGGGGAATACAGAAGAGCCACATTAAGCATGGCAGAGAAAGGCTCAGAGCATCCCTTCCTTATATGCATGCAGAGGAGATCCTTCATGTGAGGATTTCCTCCTGTATGTTTAGAAGGGAGAGGTGCTATCTCTAAGAGAGCCAGCACTGGACAGACCAACAGGGCCTCTTCTGTAGCCCCCAACCTCCAACTCTCAAGTAAAGTTTCACTTAACGGAGTTTTGCAAAGTTCTGGTCCTTTGGGAGTCATTAGAGATTGATCTGGGTCTTTGGGGGAAGAGGGGAACACAAAACACACCCTCTTCATTTTTTGAGAAACCAAGAACAGAAAAAAAAATTGGTAGGACCCCAGCATATTACTTGAGTCTACTATCCTTAGCAGATAGGGTCACTGAGGTTGCTTTGCTTCTACAATTTAGCCCAAGCCCTGTAAATCCTGACTGCAGTCCTGTTAAGGCCAGACGTAAGAAGGCATATTCTCTCCTCCTTCCACATGCAGAATTCCTACTCCTTTTAATGGAAGTCCTGCACATGGACTGACTGAAACTATAGTTTTGGCCTCTAACTATCACTCCAAATAGAAAGGGCTGTCTTTTATGTTTCAGCCTTTGTAACTTAGACAAAGCTACTCCCATGGTACCATATGGACTCGTGTTAATAGTAGCGTGAGATTGAAGAGTCACGTTCCAATGCAATGGTGCACCATCCTAGCCCTAACATGCAATTTCATACACACTTTTTTTAAATCCACAGTTGAACTTGAGTATTATGTAAAGATTATGCAAATTTAGACCTAGTCAATTGGGAAATATCCTGGATTTGGATAAATCATTATTGCTGTATTACAACTGCTTATCACCTATGAGTAAGGAATGGATATAAAAAAAGAAATACAAAGTATGAGAATACTTGCTGTAAGTTCTGGGCTGGATTCCATCTCTTAAAGAAACCAAACTTGTATGGTAAGACACTGCTTCTCTTATGAACTGGTTTACATATTCTTCAGGACAATATCTTCATATTTGCGTATTGAGGATTCTCCCTTCTCCCCATACAATTCTCATTATGAAAGAGACACTTGAGATTTACTCCCCACTTTAAAAGTAGAGAGAATAGCATCTTGATCTTATTTGTATACCAGCTACAGTGCCGCTATGACCTGTGTTTTGCAAGATGGTTAAGTACTATGGTAATAGGCTATCTTGCAATCTATTACACTGCAGTTTATAAAATCAGAAAACAAAAAACAAGCAATTTTTCAAAACACTTTTATTTCTTTTTTAAACAGTTTGATAAAACCATTCATTGGCATTTAGAGTTCAACTGTAAACAATCACAATAAGTTGCTATTGTGTATTGAACTTTATACATTTTTACACAAAATTGCAGTAACAATCCATAGGAATACGTTACATTCAGCATATTTGAGAATGGATTTGGCTATTGAAACACTATACTGGAAAAATCTGTGCGGTCAGGTAAGTAAAATTATTCAAAAGCTGAATGTTTAACTCCCTCCTGTGGTGCACGTAAGCAGCATCATAATTCATCAGCTTCTATAAGTGTATATAGTGCTAGTGCTATATATTAAAAAGCCTGCTTTCACTCAGAACAAAATTTCAAGTTAACTACAGAAACTCCTCGCTCACGAGTCAGAGTATTATATAAGAGAGTTTCAAATAGACGAAGTTATTGTAAACATCTTTCCTTACACCAAAATGGGTATGCCACATTTAGATACATTTGTAGTCCTTTTGGGCTGTCACACTCTAGGAGACCTTCTCAAGTCTTTATGTTGCAGTAAGAGTTGTAAAGCATGACCAAAAAGAGTATCTAGTTGTTTTGTGTGCAAAAGCCTATAGTAAGAGTTTTAGCATTTACAGCCAAGACAATTCACATTACCATGCATATAAGCATTGAAAACTAAATTGTTACCCACCATGTGGGGATGGATTCTGTGTCAATTGAAGCCAGTGGCAAGGCTCCCACTGACTTCAGTGGTGAAGATCAGGCACTAGCTAATCTAGAGTGAGCTGATTTTAAAGAGAGACTGTCAATTTCAAAAATTACTTGTCATAACAGTAGGTGGTAAATACTCAAGATGACTATAACTAAAAGATTAGAGAACAAAGTTATTGTTTCAGTTTGTTAACTTTAAGTCAGTTTCCCAGTCTGTATGGGTCTTCCACACACCAGAGAAGCATGACTTTTTTTAATTTTAAAAAGTAGTAACAAAAATGGGCACGGTTATACAGTCTCTGATACCATTCCTGAAATTCCCTTAGATCACTTTTTGAAATGGATTAGGTTTCAAATTAGCAGTATCACTTTTAATGAATAGCTGAACCTGGGTCTTAATACTGCATCCAGTGAACATCCAAAACTCCCCTTGATGTCAATGGGAGTTTTGGTAGCACAAGCACTGCAGGACCAGCCTCAAAACACATACCAATCCAAAATCAACCGAAAAAAGAATCAAGGACTGAAATTTAGAGCATAATGTTCAAACAATCACTTTCAGGCCATTATTCTGACATTTGGGCGTCAAAACAAGTAGCCATATGTCCTTAATGTATTTAACATGAAAAATTTTTTAATCAGTAAATATGAATGGGTCAGAGAAAACATCCTCAGAATTTTCATAAGTGGACCTCTAAATCATTTATTTGGGGAAGTGTATCATGTATTTTTACATGAGAAATGATAGATTTTAGTCTAATTTCAAGAGAGGTTCACCACATTAAAGATTAGTAAGTCAAACTTATTTTTAAAGTTACTTTGTCTAAAGGCTTCAACATCTTTCAAGTATTATAGAAAAAAGATCAAGCCAATGTCATAAAGCATGCCTCATTTAACACAATCATTATGAAAAAGATTGTAACCAGGTTTATTCAGACAGTTCAATATAACTCTTAAAAACTCATGACAGAGTATCTTACCAAGAAACCCAAGCAGCATAACATGGTTATTTTGGTTACTAGCTGCAGGCCTTGATAGATTTGATGCCACAAGTATCTGACAACATAAATAAGATTACAATTCACAATCACAACAATAAAACCAGTGGGGATTTGGACTGTCAGGCAAATGTTTTTCAAAGCAGCTGGTTTAGAGAAAAAACAAAACAAAATAAACTTACCACCGAGGTGGTATATCTGATAAGGCTAACAGGTAAACTCCGATAAGCTCTCATGACAGATGTCAGTGTTAATTCACTGTCAAAATTTGTTACGATAACCAAATATAGAGGAGCCTATCCAAAACAGAAGAGGGTAGTGATGTGGGCAGGAGGGAAGTATACAGGACCAAACCATTTTCTCTGCTAAACTGGTAAAAGTATGAGAAAGAGGCTAAGGACCTGCTCCTATGAAGAAAGTCCACGTTTTTTCAAGCATGCAACATAAAAAGTTCAGTCAAAGCACTTATGTTCCTCAAAACTCAGAAAATAAGCCACAACAAGCAGTTCCCACAATATGTTGCAGGTATTCCTTGCCTGGGCCCATAGTTTCCTTGTGAGGTATACGTGTAATTTACATGAATGCTAGTACCTGCTAGCCTTGATATTTAGTACAGTTTCTACTGCTTTTTGAAGTTTAACACTAAAGGGCCAAGACAGTTTACACAGCATTCAAACACACGGCTGTGGTTTTGCCTATACACATACAGTTCTCCACAGGCACATAAAAAAGGCTCAAGGCATTATTCAATATTTGTTTTAAACATACTTAAAGTGATCTTTAAAAAGAGCAGTGCAGTATTTGCTTAAGTTCCACTTGAGTCAAGAAACGGGTTTATAAAAAGTTACTAGATAATTCTCAATACTAGATTTTTTATTTTCTTACCTTTCTTTAACCACTTCGTTTGTTTGCTTTGTAGTAGCAGAAACAGAACTCTTGATATGTAGTTCAGGAACGAGCTTGGTACTGACCAATGCCTTATAAAACTGAATTTTAAAAGCATTAAGTTGTTTAGTAACTAGTCTTATATTTTACTTTGATGTTTTAAATACTTCTGACTGACATCCATAACTTAGCAAGCAAAAAATTGGAAATATATATAAAAAAAAGCCATCTTCTAGTCTTTTGAAATTACCCACCCCACTAAAATATATTCTTTCCTAGTACAACAGATTCCTTAGGACAGCCTCAACCCTAGAGAAGCATTTACTGTGAAAACTGATTCCTACATCGGATTTACTGAGGCCATGAAACTCCCTGAAAACCAATTCAATGCTTTTAGTCCAGACATTTTTCCTTTTTTGAGATGAGACCATATCAGGTATAGTGAAAAAAAATTAATGGTGTACACATAGCTGTACACAGTAGCCATGTGTATAAATATTACACATCTATGAAAGACTCTCTCCCCTTTGGTTTACAGTTCTCCCTCCCAGGGGGAAGACACTGACATTTCTGTGTTGCTGTCTTTGCCAGATAATTCTAGTAGTACAAGAATACTGCTTTCGATTTATGCTTCTCCAGCCTTGACGTGCAGTGTATGTATGGCATGTGAAATGCTACCACACTAAACCATCCTTTATTTCAGTCTCAGATGGAATGTTTAAGTTACCTTTTAGGTTTACAATAAATCAAATTCAAGGCATGTTAACTTATTATTAGAATGGATTTAATCCACTCAGAATTAACACTCTTTAAACATTGTTAAAAGATTACATAGAGACGACAAACGACAATTCAATCACCTTTCTGTGTCTAGTATCAGGAGATAGCCGAGTTAGTCTGTATCCACCCTGATTGAACTAGCCCTGTCAACACTGGTTCTCCACTTGTGAGATAACTCCTTTCTCTTCATGGGTCAGTATAATAATGCCTGCATCTGTAATTTTCACTCCATGCATCTGAAGAAGTGGGATTTTTACCCACGAAAGCTTATGCCCAAATAAATCTGTTAGTCTTTAAGGTGCCACCGGACTCTTTGTTGTTTCTGTGTCTAGTTATTGCAGGCTGTTTAACCTGATCCCATGATCATGGCTGAAAGCCACACACTCAGGGAAGTTAATAGTCTTGTCATGGTGAAACATCTATATGATCAGGTCTGTAGTATACAATATTCATCATACCAGAAGTCCCTTCATAGAACAACAACTTGTTTGCAATATTCAAAAGGAATGTTATAAGCCACCAGCACCCTATAATAGGCTTATGTAAAAACATTCTAGTCAGGCTGTTTTTGCTAGGTTTGTCTTTATGATGTTTAAAAAACAAAAAAAGAGGGGGGGGGAGCTATTTCTTACACCTTCATTTGCTCCTCCTTATTCCTGGACATTTTGTGTACATCAAAATCATCTCTAAAAGTAACTGTGATGTTTCAAAAAAGAAGAGGAATGATTAAGAAAGTTTATCTTTTCCGGCTGCATGTTTCTAAGGGACAAAGTGTTCAGCTTGGCCTTACAAGCATAAATAACTGGAGTACAATTTTTGTGCAAACGAATACATTGTTCTTAGATGTCCATGTAACAATAAATGCAGATACAAAACTGGAACTGAGTGCAAAAAATGGATACCAACATTTGAAACACTTAATGTATAGGAAAAGAGATCCTAATTCTTTGCCCGTATCCATAGCTTTAAAAATAAGAAAACCTTATGTCATCTGCCCCAGAAAAGTAGCAGGGAGCATAATTTCTAAATTAAAAATTTTCATCCTTTCCCATAATAGATCAGTAGCTTCTGATAATTTAATCTACAACTCAGTATTTGACTTTTTAGAGAACTATAAGATTTCTAATGCTATTGACTTTGTATTCTCATGGCGCAGAACTAACTGAGTTTTTACTAAAAACAACAAAGTGGACGTGAGTTATATAACACATAATGGTTCCATTACAGTCTATGGGACAAAGTCTAATTTTTGCCCAAGACAGCAACAGCTCCCTCACAGCAGTTTACTATTTATAATGTATGCCTACTTTAACATCTCTGCTGATTATGTAACTGGTACACATGTGATCTAAGGTCTAAAACTACACACGTAGTTTTAAAGTGCACAGTAAATAAAATTATTTTCTAAATTTAAAAAATATTTCTAATCTCTTCCTTCTACAGCAACACATAGTGTCCATATTTGGGACTCAAAGCAAATAAAAGGCCACTTCTGAAAGCAACAAAAGAGAAACTTTTCTTCACTCCTAGAAGCCTAAAGGTGTATTGAGTTATTTTCTAAATTTTGTAAATCATAATAACCTGGGGCATTGAAATCAATAGGACTACTCATATGAATAAGGGTTTGTGGAATCAGTTCGTAAGGGCCAAATTCTCCAATGCAATGTGGCTAATTTGCAGAGAATTGTTGGCATAAGCTTGTCCAAAGGAGAGTTTAATGGGCTTAGGAAGGATCATCTCAGGGTAAGGATGACCTTTCAGTGTTGCAGAGGCACTGTAAATGTTTGTATATCAGCCTGCCAGCATAACAGGGAAAAGGGGACATGGCCCTATGTTTTGCACATTTCTGGTCCCTACAGACTGTTTGCAGCCATCACAGAGCTGCCCTCAGGATGCAGTGGGACCAAGTCTCCACAGAGCTGCATGCAACAGGATCAGGGGAGTGCAAAAAAATAGAGTTTTATTTCCACCTTTGCACACCTCAACCTCAATGCTCTGGGCAGATCAGCTACCTTACACCCCACCCCCGGAGTGGGCTTCATATTTCCAGTAAGATTCAGTCATAATGAAGGTTTGTTTTTTAAAGAAAGGACACACAACCCCCCTGCAAATATAGTTAGTTATAAGGGAGACGTTGATAGGCCTTTGTCTACAGCTCACCAGCAAGTTTCATTGAAGATATTCTTTAAATGAAACTCACACCATTTCTCTAAAAAAAAAAAAAAACTAGTTGAGAGATGTCCTATATTGGAGTTCTCAGCTTCAGAATCTCTCAGTTAATTGATATACACAATACTTTTAGAGTCACAGAGGTTTTTTTAAAAAACAAAAACAAACAAACAAAAAAAACCACCTGTGCTGAGATAGATGGATTGAATTCTACAGGTAAGAACTTTCCAACAGGGGACTATAAACACCAGCCAAAAGCACAGATTTGGCTCAGACCCTTAAAAAAAGATCAGTGCTGTAAAATTAAAGCCAAAAACTGTTCCAGACAAGCATTAATGTGAGAAACTCATTTGAGAGCTGCATGAATCCTAAATAAGTCAAATTACAATCTCCTGAGCCCAGAAGTTATGGTATTCCATATAACATTCCCCATTACTTACTAGACAAGACTGTTTTATTAGCAACTCCAAGTGCCATTTAATTTTAGTTGCATAGCTCTCACTAAAACCTGAACTATAACTTTGTCTCAGCACTGTTTGATTTAATCAGATATATTTTTCTATTAATATTAAAAACAGACATTATTAAAATTTCAGCATTATTTTGCTTTTACCTTCACTACTGCATGCCAGAGATTTGCTAGTGCAAAAGCTCGTACAGCTAGTAGCCACTGTGTTACCTGAGGATTATTTGTTGTATATTTTATACTTGAAAGCATTTTTTTATATGCAGTTGTTTGCTCTGAAGACATGACGTTTAAATAGTCAAGGAAAATATACGGTTTCTGGCTGCTCAGTAGTCCCATAGGATATTCACTCAATGTGGCAGCAAGGATGGAATGCAGATCAGAAGGTTGCAGTTCAGAATCCAACGCCTCCAGAAATGCAAGTTGCAATTCATCCTCAATAATACCCATTTCTAATTCCAACAATTGCCTTTTTTGATTGTACTGTAGCTCTGACAGCCAGAAATGTGCAAAATGTACAAAGTTATCTCCAGTGCAACACCAGACACTCAAGTCACTAATGGAATTATATGCTTTCTCCAGCCAATCTGTCACAGAAGTACTATCAAAGTGGTTAAAAATCTTATCAAGTCGTCCTCTCTCAGGTGAAAAGAGCAGATGAGATGAATCCTTTGAAGAGACAACTGCACTTAAATTTAACCTTGTTGGTTCACTCAAATGAGGAGGCATTTTCTTGCCAATATGAGGCAAAGGTACAGCCTTAAATAAAGAACAATTCCTGATCTTAAGAGAAAAGAATTCTTTTTGTAAGCTACTATTAACATCAACTTGAGAATTCTTCAACAAGGAACATACGTCTGGAAGGTGAAGGATCTCATTTTGGCTATTTGGGCCACTTTCACTTAAATGTTCATGGTTTAAAACGTCTTCCTCCTCCATATTCATATGGGAGACAGTCATAGCTCTTCTGTCCTTCAAACTTTGCATTTTGTTAAACAGTAATACAGAATATTATTAACCCTAGTTGCAGCACAGACAAGCACAGCAAGTCACAAGTCAATGGATCTCAATATGAACCTGAAAGAAAGAATGAATACAGGAAATTAACTCATGGTCAGTCTCCATCTTCAACTGCTTCTCTTAAAGTAAAATATACACATTTTCATCATATCCAAACAACATTATCAGTATTACCAGGTATTATTTAGGGATCTCCATATCATGAAGGGAAAAAAAGAATAGCTCAACAGCAGAATGTAGTTGAGGAACCTAATAGTATAGTTTGTAAGGAGGTCCCCCTAACTCTTTTCCTTGAATATGTTCAAGCAGATTTATCCTACACTGATGAAAGTGGATATTAATGCTATTAATTTTAACAGGTTCTAAAAATGTTATTTCTATACACAAAATTTAAGATCATGGCCTCTGATAGCAAGTGTCCCTCTACTCTGCTGCACATTTAATGCTGGTTTCTCCTCTTTTGCAGTTTAAATTCACTGGAGTTAGAGCTTACCTTTGTTGGGTGGCGGAAAGCATCACAAGTGACTCAGCGAATGAGACATCTGAAAACTTATTGCATAACAATACTCTCTACTTTAACCAATAAGATTGCAGTATGTAAGTGATCAGAGGCTTAACATCAGAGATCAGTTTTAAGTGTATTTCTTTAGATTTCAGAGTAGCAGCCGTGTTAGTCTGTATCCGCAAAAAGAACAGGAGTACTTGTGGCACCTTAGAGACTAACAAATTTATTAGAGCATAAGCTTTCGTGGGCTACAGCCCACTTCTTCGGATGCATCAGACTGAGTCGGAGA